ACGCAGTTTATTTGGTGTTGAATGAGTTGCTCGTCCAGTTAGCTTAGCCTCAGCACGGCTATGGCTACTTCTCCGTCTCCTATCTCTCTGTGTCAGATGTTTAGTTACTACTCTGCCTCCTTTAGTGATAATGGTACCTGTAATAAATGTAGCATTTTTGTAGCTTTGGAGGCAAGGGTGTCGGAATTGGAGGCCCGGCACCGCACTGTTGAAAAGCCCGTAGATAGCCGTAGCTTCTTAGCTAGTGCGGGGCTAACTAGCTCAGAACCACCCCGTAGCAGTCCTCCAGTAGAACCTGAGCAGCCGGGACCTCAGGCCGGCTGGGTGACAGTACGCAGGAAGCATAGAACCCAGCCCGTGGGACACCACCAACCCGTCCACGTTTCTAAAAGATTTTCCTCGCTCAGTGACACACCCACTGACAAGCCAACTCTGATCATTGGCAGCTCCATAGTCAGAAACGTGGCATTAGAGGCTCCAGCAACCATAGTTAAATGTTTACCTGGGGCCAGAGCGGGCGACATTAAATCTTACCTGAAACTGCTGGATAAGGATAAGCGTAAATACAGTAAGATTGTTATTCACGCTGGCGGTAACGACACCTGGTTATGCCAATCGGAGGTCACTAAAATTAATGTTGCTTCTGTGTGTAAGTTTGCCAAAACAATGTCAGACTCCGTAATTTTCTCTGGCCCCCTGTCTGATTGGACCAGTGACGACATGTTTAGCCGCATGCTGTCCTTTAACCGCTGGCTGTCTAGGTGGTGTCCTGAAAACAACGTGGGCTACATTGATAATTGGAAAACTTTTTGGGGAAAACCTGGTCTGATGCGAAGAGACGGCATCCACCCCTCTTTGGATGGAGCAGCTCTTCTTTCTAGGAACATGGCCAGTTTTATTAGTCCTCTATGACAACCCAGGGTCCAGACCAGGAAGAAGAGTCGTAGTTTAACCCACCCCTCTGCAGCTTCTGTACTGTTACCCACCCACTACCCCATAGAGACAGTGTTCTGCCCACGGCCAAAATCACACAGATTAAATATCAGGCTTAATAAAGCAAATCATGGAAATCTCCAAGATATTAGAACAAATTCAACTGAGCAGAAAACTAGAAAAATTAAATGTGGGTTATTGAACATTAGATCTATTTTTCTAAGACTTTGTTAGTTAATGACTTGATTTGTGATAATCAGATTTCTTTGTTCTCTCTCACAGAATCCTGGCTGCAGCAAGAGGACTATGTTAGGTTAAATGAGTCGACTCCTTCTAATTATTTAAATCATCATATTGCTTGAAGTACAGGGCGAGGAGGAGGAGTAGCAACCATTTTTAATTCAGACCCATTAATCAATCTCTTACCAATAAATAGTTACAATTCGTTTGAACATCTTATTCTTAGATTTCCTAATCCAGGTTGCAAAACTGTAAAACCACTCTTGTTTGTAGTTTTGTATCATTCACCAGGCCCTTACTCTGAGTTTTTGGATCAGATCTCTGATTATTTATCTGATTTGGTGCTAAATACTGATAAGGTCATTGTAGTGGGGGATTTTAACATGCATGTGGACATTGAAAATGATAGCCTCAATGTAGCCTTTAGTAATATCTTAGACTGAATTGGTTTTACCCAAAGAATACATAGCTCCACCCACTCTTGCCATCATAAATTAAACCTTGTGCTGACTTAAGGCATAAAGTGTGAGGAAATATTTCCACATAATCCAGTCCTCTCTGACCACTTTTTGATAACCTTTGAGTTTTTTTATAACTGAGTTCTCGAGACATGAAAGTAAATTTCAGTATAGTCTGTCTCTCTGACAACACTGTTGCATCTTTTAAATCAACTGTTCCATCTTTACTATCTTCAGCATCTCAGAAGAACGTATCAGAGGGCAATATTTTTATTTCTAGCCCTTCACAAATTGATGCTTTAGTTCATAATGTTACTTCTTTACGTGTAGCATTAGATGATGTTGCCCCCTTAAAAAAGAAGGTAATTAGGGACAGGAAGTTGGCTCCCTGGTTTAATACTGATTTACGAACTTTAAAACAAAACTCTAGAAAATTGGAGAGAACATGGCGCTCTACACACCAGGAGGAATCCTACTTATCCTGGAAAAATAGTCTTGTGCTTTATAAAAATAAGCTTCAACAAACTAGAACTGCTTATTTTTCATCTCTAAAGAGAATAAGAATAAACCTAAATTTCTTTTCAGTAAAGTTGCCAAACTTACACAAAATCATAGCTCTGAGCCATCTATTCCTTTAGCCCTCAGCAGCAACGACTGTATGGGATTTTTCACAAGTAAAATTAATTCTATTAGAAACAAAATCATTAGCATCCTCCCTAATGTGATTTCTTCTTCCTCAGTAAGTGAGGAAGCATCTGAGGTAACTGTAGAACCTCATCTGTGTTTGAACCGTTTTGATCCAGTTGATTTTTCAGATTTATCAAAAATATTAGCTTCATCTAAACCTTCAACTTGCATTTTAGATCCAATCCCAACCAAATAATTCAAAGATGCATTTCCTTTGGTTACTGCCCCCATTCTAGATATAATCAATCTATCCTTAGTAAATGGATATGTGCCACAGGATTTTAAGGTTGCTGTAATCAAACCTTTACTTAAGAAGCCTTCTCTGGATCCAGATGATCCAATGAATTATAGACCAATATCTAACCTTCCATTTTTATCCAAAGTCCTGGAGAAAATAGTGGCCATCCAAGTATGTGAGCATTTAAACACTAATGATCTGTTTGAGGAATTTCAGTCTGGTTTTAGAGTATCACAGCACTGAAAATGCGTTAGTGAGAGTTACAAAAGATATTCTCATGGCCTCAGATAAGAATCTTGTGTCTGTTCTAGTCTTGTTAGATCTCAGTGCTCTCAATGTTCCTTAAAAAAGGCTTGAACATGTTGTAGGGATCAAAGGAACAGCACTAGGCTGGTTTAAATCCTACCTGTCTGATAGATTTAATTTTGTAAATGTACATGACAAATCTTCAAACTCCAGGGTTACTTGTGGAGTACCATAGGGTTCAGTGCTTTGACCAATTCTTTTTACTATATATATGCTCCCAACTGGTAAAATCATTAGACAGCATGGGATAAACTTCCACTGTTATGCTGACGATACTCAGTTATATCTATCCATTAACCCTGATAAACCTAACCTCGGTTAGTTAGATTACAGGCTTGTCTTGAAGACATAAAAAATTGGATGGCTCTAAACTTTTTGCTTTTAAATCAAGACAAGACGGAAGTTCTCATCTTTGGACCAGAAATCCAGAAAAGGAAATTGCTTAGTCAATCACCTGACCTGAATGGCATTACATTAATCTCCGAGAACAAAGTAAGGAACCTTGGTGTTATCTTTGACCAGGACATGTCATTCAAATCACACATTAAACAGGTTTGTAGGATTTCGTTTTTCCACCTTAGGAATATTGCTAAGATTAGAAGCATCCTTTCCAAGAGTGATGCTGAAAAACTAGTTCATGCATTCATTGCATCAAGACTGGATTACTGTAATTCATTACTCTCAGGAAGTCCACAGAATGTAGTTAAAAGTCTTCAGCTTGTCCAAAATGCTGCAGCTAGAATTCTGATGAGAATTAAAAAGAGAGATCATATCTCTCCTGTCTTAGCTTCCCTACATTGGCTGCCTGTTAAATTCAGAATAGATTTTAAGATCCTTCTTCTCACATATAAAGCTCTTAATAATCAAGCTCCATCATACATCAGTGATCTGATTGTTCCATATGTTCCTAACCGAGCACTTCGCTCTCAGACTGCAGGTTTACTGGTGGTTCTCAGAATATCTAAAAATAGGATGGGAGGCAGATCTTTTAGTTATCAGGCTCCTCTCCTGTGGAACCAACTCCCAGCTTTATTCCGTGAGGCAGACACCTTGTCTACTTTTAAGAATAGGCTTAAAACATTTTTATTTGATAGGGCCTATGGTTAAAATCTGATGTTAGCCTAAATCTGGACAAGTGGGGGAGTAGAGGGAGGTGGAGAGTACAGTGGGTAAAGACGGCTCTCCCTTGCCCTGACTCCAACATGCCTCCATCTAAAAGGCTAGGTTATCCAGAGTTATCTCTGTAGTTATGCTGCTATAGGCTTAGACTGCTGGAGGACACACTGACCCCTTTCCACACTCTACTGCTTTCTTCTACAGTCTGCTCTTTAACTTCATTTCAGCTGCTAACTTTATTTTTTCTCTAAGCGTTTTTCTCTCCAGAAGAAGCTAGGAAATTCTGCCTAGCTGTGATAGCTTCACGGAGGGGGCCATCGTCTTGAACACTGTTGCTAACCATTTAATCATTCTCCCTCTGATAACACTTTGCTTTCCTTGACATTGAACGTCATAGTTTACCCTTTAATTATAGATCCACTAGGATAAATACAATAAAGTTTATCTCTCACCAAATAGAATATTTACTAAGAAATCACAATGTAACAATAGAAACACTACTTGGTATATATGGTGTGTGTGTGTGTGTGTGTGTGTGTGTGTGTGCGTGCGTGCGTGCGTGCGTGCGTGCGTGCGTGCGTGTGTGTGTGTGTGTGTGTGTGTCACTGAATGCTTGCTTAGTATGAGGATTGCTGTAAAGACTCTGACACTAGTCAGTGACTCAATGCAACCTGCTGGGTTCCTTATATAGGAAACCTGTTACTGACTGGCTTAATGACCTGACCTGTATTGGAATGTTTACTGTGTGAAGGTTCTTGAGACGACGCTTGTCGTGATTTGGCGCTATATAAGTAAACTTGAATTGAATTGAATGGACACCACCGGAACAAGGACACCACCACTGGGACAAAGATAAACATACACAGGGACATGGGCACCGCTGGGACAATGACACCAACACACAGACATGGGCACAAATATGGGGACATTGACACCACCACGGGTACATGGGACTGACTCAGGACCCAGGCTGATTGATGTTTGGGTTGAGGATCAGAACACTAAAGGTACCACGGGCCTACCGGTGTACAGACTCTGGTGGTGGGGGGTCATGTCCTCTCCCACGGCCCTCCTCTGTCCCCCGTCCTTCTTGGTCCTCCCCTTGTGGTCCGTTCTCGGGCTGTGCTGATGGTAATGGTGGTGCATACATTCAGGACTTCCAAGCACGGCCTGACCCTTCCTCAGCAGGTCCGGGGTCCTTGGTACCGGCTGCTTGGACTCTGGACTCTCACAGCAAGCCCCCACCATGCTACCGTGCTTCTGCCTCGGACTCAGTTCTGGACTGGACTTAGCAGAGCCCTTCTCGTGTGGTCCTGACACCAGCCGCTGTTTCTGAGCGAGTAGGTTAGAGCTGCAGGTTTTGGGAGGAGGGTCACGGGTCGACCTGTTCAAAGGTTTATCAGGGCTGTGGGGGTCCAGGTGTGTGAGGGAGCCCCCTCGGAGGCAGCAGGACTGTGGGAAGGTGTGGTATTCCAGAGTGGAGCTGTGCTTCTTCCCGATGGGGTCACATGCATCTCTGTTCTGATCGGAAGCATACCTGGACCCGGCTCCAGATGCTGGGCTGGTGCAAGAGCCGAGAGGAGGGGGTTTCTGGGTATCAGGGCTGTTCGTGCTCCCAGCGCTGGAGGTACTGCTCCCATCACCCACATCCCTCAGCAGGCCGGGAGTGGGCCCACCTCCCCCAAGCTGGTTCAAGCTGTCTATGGAGCTCCTGCAGCCGAGGTCTCCCCCACCTCCCCCCCTGGCATGCTCCTCCTCCAGCATCAGACACACCTCCCTCAGCTCCAGGTTTTCTTGGATGACCTCCAGCTGCCGCTGCTCCAGCTCCTTGAGCTTTTGCAGGTAAACAGACACCTCCTTCCTCATCAGACTGGCGCTGACCCGACCCAAACGCTGCCACTCCCTGGAAACCCGCTTCCCCTTCTGACGGTCATCATCTAGAAAGCAGCACAGGTCCCGCAGCTCCTGGTTGTCCTCCTGCAGTTTCTGGTTCACGTCCTGGTTTACAGACACACACAGAGAGTGAATCAGGGTGAGAGAACATGCTGGTTCTGGCTCTAAAACATCATCCAGATCCTGGTGGAGTTCTACTGGTCAATGGCGGTTTTAAACGGGGGCCCACAGGGGCCTGGGCCCCTGTAGAACCGGCCCTGGCCCCTGTTATGGCCCCTGTGCTGAAGAGATCGGATTTTTTTTCCCCACGCTGCCTCGGAGACGGGAACTAATGCGCTGCAGCGTTTCACACGGAGCCTTTAGAGCGCAGCACACTCTGTGGACAGAACTGTTTACGCAGTGGATTTTTGAATAAAAGATTAAAAATAGTTTAAATGGGACCCGAAGAAGTTATTGAGGACGACTAACGGAAAAGACGCTAAGAGACGAAGGTAAATACAGCTTATTTTCCTGACATCAGTGTTTTGATCGTAGTCGCGTGTTTCTGTCATTTACTTTTAAGTTCCTAACTGAGCTCATACAGTGTGTAAAATGCATTTGAGGCATGCTGACTCTGGACCAAAATTTCTGTTGTTTATATTTAATAAATAGATAAAATAAGACTCAGAATTAACTAATTATGACTTTTATCCTCATGCTAACTTTATTTTCTTTCAGATGTCAGCAAGTGTAAGGATGACCCACCTACTCAGCCTCATTTGAGGACATTTCCAGTGACATTAATAGAAGACAGAAGACGCAGCTTTCAGCCAAGCTGGTATGAAAGTCATCCTTGGGTTGAATATTCTGTTACTATGGACTTTACTTATTGTCATGCATGCAGACATTTTAGCCCGCCAAGTAGCGCAGGAAGTGTGTTTGACTCACCATGTGGATTTAGGAACTGGAAAAAAGCAACTGAGAGAGGAGGGTTTTTTTTGGTACATGCAAAGTCTGAAAGGCAAAAATTGAAATTATTTGAAATTGTATTGTGCTCATAATTTATTTGAATGTTTATTTTTCATATGTACAGTACATGTAATCTTCAAATAAAGTCACAAACTATAATAATCAACTAGAATTATTTTTTACTCAAGTCTCGTGTTGCGGTGAAGCATTCAGAATTGTTATCTGAGTACCATAAAAACATGCCAGTTTTACTTTCACAAGTAAACCATTACTGCATTCGCTGTAATAATTTACTTGTTCACTGTCTTTACTTATGAATTTATTTGAATCTTATTTTAGTAAAATACAGCTTTTTGATAAATGTGATCCCCAAAATATAGTAAAGATAGATATGAAAAAGGAGAACAAAAAAGTGAGTAGTTTCACAGTACTAGGAATTTCCTTTGGTAAAATTGTGCACAAGCACAAAATTAGGCATATGGCGGAGACAAAAAAGAATTTTGATATTGCCCTAATTTTTCCCTTTTTTTTTCTTGTGCCCCCATGAAAAAATACTGGCCTCACTGTGGCCCCCCTGGAAAATTTGGTCTAGAACCGCCCCTGCTACTGGTACATGAGCAAAAGGTCTAAGAAAGTTCTGGTTCTGGATCGTCTGTTTCATTTATGCTTCAAAACATGAAATCTAGTCTGAATAATGATGAAGGTTCTGGTTCTGGAGAAGCTTAATCTGTGGAGAAATAAATGAATAAAAATACAGACCAACGCAACAGGTCTGGTTCTGGTTCTAACAGGATGTGACCCACTCATCTAGCCCGGGCCAGCTGATCAGAACCACACCCCGGTCCGGTAAGAGCTCTCAGGGAGAGCGGAACCTCTCACCTTCAGGCTCCGGATCTCGTCCAGGTGCAGCTGCAGTCTCCGGTTCACCTCCCGCATTAAGTTTCCGTGCTCCAGGATCACGCTCCTCCGCTCTGCCTCCGCCCTCCGGAGCCGCCGAACCAGATCCTCTTTACTCCGCCTCAGCAGCTCCTCATCCGGGATCTTTGAGACGTCCTCCGCCGGACACTCGGCGCTTTTGGACTTCTCCATGGCTCCGAGCTCCCGGTGGGGAAGGAAAGTGCAGCGTTAATGGATTAGAGAGAACAAGACACACCGATCCCCGATCAGCCCAGGAAATCTGCTCGATCCCCCCAACCGTCCGGACAATGGCCGTGAAATGACATGGTTCTGGTTCTGCCTCGCGCCCACGCCCATCCCGCACCGCCCGTATCCCACCGACCAGAGCATCAGTCCGGAGACAGCCGAGTCTCCGTCCGGGTGCAGGGCCCGGGTTCGTGCATGTGCAGGTGCATGTCCGCCGATATGCGCACTGCTGAGCGCATCCTCCAGCTGCACCGGAGGACGGGGGTGGAGGGTGGGAGGCTGCAGGTGAACATCCGGAAGTAAGGTTGAGATGCATTGGCTCCCTCTGCTGGAGATAAAACGTCTCCGCAAGGACCAGTCCAGGTGACCATCCAATCACAGCACTCCACTGTGATGACGTAGACCTCACCTGCTGGTCTGGATGTGTGGGCTCTTCTGATGATGTTAAAGGTTTAATCCCGATTATTTTAGTAAGTTTCTCCCCATGATAGATGAGACTGACTTTGTCTGACCTAATTGTCAGATGTGCACACACACACACACACACACACACACACACACACACACACACACACACACACACACACACACACACACACACACACACACACACACACACACACACACACACACACAGCTGTTGCTGTATCCCTGTGTGGACCCTCCACTGACCTCCATTCATTTTAGTGACTTCACTAAACCTAACCCATACCCTAACCTAATCCTAATCTAAATCAAAACCTCTAGGACCCTGTTTGAGTGTATTTTGTCTTTGTGCGGACCAGCCAGATGTCCCCACAGTGTGGAAATGTCCACACACTACAGGTTAAAAGTTAAAGTTGGTCCTCTTAAGCAGATATAGACAAGTACGCATGTGCACGTTGTATTAAACCAATGTAAAGGTTCAAGCACATCAGACAGATTGGTCCTGAAATCCAGAAACAGCTGAGGAGGAGGAGGATTTCTCTGGCTGACGCACCGGTCTGCCTGCAGAGGACAGAACAGTGGGTGTGGCCATTTGACTTGGTATGCAGGTAAAGTCAGAAAGGCTGCTGAGGTCAGGTCTCAGTAGGAGCAGAGAGCGCTGTGTCTGTCATGATGAAGCTGTTGTTGTCACTGCTGGTTCTGGTACCGTTCTGCTACGGCGACTACGCAGAGTTCTGCCACCACCAGCCATGCCCAGAGTACACGGTGGTGGAAACCAACCAGGTAGGTGTCCGAGCAGGCAGCACACACTCACCCTTTTAGTGTGTCTATGGTTGATGCAATCTTTTTTTTCTTCTTTTTTCAGGACTTTGAGAAGCGTGAAATTGTTGCTACAAAGTGGATCACCACCACCATGCCAGGAAACACAAGCGCAGATTTTTTGGCTGCAAATGAGCGGCTGAAGGGTTTCTGGATGTCCCAGAAGCAAGCAGGTGAGCCAGATCTTCTCACCTAGTGATGCTCTACAGTAATAACACTGGTAAAGGTCTCCACCCCGCTTTAATGGACTTTAACTGTTTTGCAGTTGATCTGTTTTTCCAGCGTTTATCTCAACATCTGTTAGACTGATTATGACACATTTTAGTGTTAATGGTCACTAGACTGGTTTTAATTTTCCACGTTTGCATCTGGGTGTTTACTTATGAAACCACTCTGTTGGTCTCTCTCAGGTAATGAGATCCCTGACACCTGGCCTGTCCTGATCACCATCTCTGAAGGTTCGACCGGTTTGGTTCAGTCCTTGTCCTGGTTTCTCCCGCCTGGTCCGGAGCCTCAAATCGCTGATCCTTCTGTTTTTCTGCTACGCAAAAGTGCTGCCACCATCTACACCAAGTGAGTTCATCCAACCCCAACCATTAAAACCCTGACAGGAATCCTCAGTGTTGATGGGATTTTGGGTCAGATTGTGGAGAAAACTTAAAGGATCTGAAGAGAAGCCTGAGGGTTCAGGATCTAATCAAGGTGCTTGGTTCTTCTCTGTGCAGGAGCTTTGGTGGTGTCCCTTCTGTCAGGGCTGCTGAGGAGAATCAAAATACTCTTAAGAATTATTTGACTACAAACGGAATCGCCTTCAATCCCCAAATCACCTGTGTGATGTTCTACGACAGTTATTTTGCTTTTAGTCACCACAACGAGGTCTGGTTTCATGCACCCTGAGAGAACAAACGTCTAATTTCTCCTTCTAAGGTGATGTTATCTGACTTCCTTGTGCCAGTGTTGGTAAACTAAAGCCGCATCACCAGACCGTCTGGATTCTTGTAAATGTAACCTGTTTGGCCACATGGACGAGTTTCGTTTTAGGTTTTGCTTTTGCTTTTTGCTGAGTTACTTAAAGTTTCTGTTCAGTTTTAGCTGCTGTGACTCAACTTATTTAACCCAATTATTCACCCTAATCTGAAAATATAAGCTACACACGTGGAGGAATGTATTTCACTGTTTTTTTTTCTTTTGTTCCAATGAAAATAAACTTGACATTTCTTCCGGATGAATTCCCAGAAGGGCTTTAATCAGATTAAAACAAAGTTCTGGTCTGACTGGATTCTGCTTGGATTGCTTCCTTTGTTTCAGTTCGTTCCAGTTGACTGTGACTTTCCTCAGGTGCTTCTTGAAGCACCTTTAGGGCAATTTTCATTCTTTTTGTTCTCCGTAAAGTCCCATTAGTCATCATCACGCTGGTGAAATGACATCTCCGTGTTTGACCCACCCCGTGCAGAGCGGTGAGCTGCAGCTGCGGCTCCGCTCAGGAACTATGTGGTGGTTTAATACACGTTGAGACTAGAGCCCTGCTGAAAAATCCAGCGTACACCAGCTGTTTCCAAACATGTGTTGTGTTTTGGTGCTGGTTTAGCTGCTAGACCAGCACCAAAACAACACACTGATACTCTATGCTGGCTTTCCAGCAGGGGGAACAAAATAAAACAGGTCCCAGTTTCTGGTCAGAAGTCAGATTAGCAGGATTACTTTGTCATGAATTAGTCGGATTCTACCGTATTCTGTTGTTATGCCTCATCTATGTGTAAGTGACACAGCTGAGCCACTGCAATCAACAGATCCCTGCTACTTGTGTTCGCCTCCGCAATCAGCTTGCCTCTTCAGCACAAATACCAACGTTCCTGCATGTCCATTGGTTTCCAAGAACCCAGCCGGCCCTGGACCCAGCCTTTTCCACCATTCTCATCATACATCTGAATGCAGAGTAAAACCTGTTTCTGTGGTGCTGTGATGGTCAGGTTCAGCTTCTTTTTGCGCCCATCAGTAACATCTCTGCTGTTCGCATCACCAGTCACATACCGTAGTCTCAGTGGGTCTGGCGTTAGATAATCATGTAAACTGGTCATGTGTAACATTCCGACCGGAGAGCCAAAACACAAGGCGACATTTAGATGTTAATTCCCTTCCCTGGGAGCCAGTTTCCCACATGTTTTAGTTGTTTTCCTCCTTCAACACATCTGATGATTGACAGGCTTCTGCAGAGCCTGATGAGCTACTGAACAGGTGATTCAACAGTGTTGAAGTAGGGCAGCAACTAAAACATGCTGAATACTGGCCCTCGGCGAAGGGAGTTGACCATCGCTGGTTTACAGGAATAACGAGGCAGCTGTGATTTATCCAGATAAAGTATTCTCATTGTTTACAAATGAGGGAAACATGTAGAGATGAATAGATGGAAGGATGCTGCATTGGCAGTGATGTGGGTGGTGCCTGTACCGTTCAGTTGTGGTGAAGCTCTTGATTTACCGGTCGTTCTACATTCCTACTCTCACTTTTGGTTTTGGGAAGTGATCAACTGGGAAGAGGCCTAAAGGACACGGAGAGACGATGTTTCTCTGTCAGCCAGGGAACGCCTTAGGATTCTTCAGAGGAGCTGAACTTCTGGGGAGAGGGCAGTCTAGACCGCTCTGCTTAGGCTGCCAACCCCGGAAAAGCAAGAGATGATGGGCAAACGAATGTGTCTCCCTTCACTGCGACCATCTACAGAAAGTTAAACAAGAATCAAACTGAAAGAATGTCTCAGCAGAAACCATCTCTGAAATGTTTCGGATGACCATCGGGGCAAAAACCCTTGACTGGTCCATGACATCAGTAATGATATAAACTCTCAACTCTGGGGACTCGCTGCATCGGATCAGCTGCCCAGAGTCTCACTTTTCTTTTTTACCTGTCCTGGCAGTTGAAGCAGACAGGTGTTGGATGCCAGAACACGCCAGAGCCGTTTTACTCCACAGCGAGAATGATGTTGGATAGTCCTCGTGTTGCACCACAGCCGTTATGTCTGAGGCATGATAGACCACATTCACTTACGCATCGGCTGGACAGGCAGGGAGGACAGAGCGACGGGGACAACAACAGTAAACAACAAATAAACAACAAACCACCGATACACAGACATGTTATTATACTGGAAATGTGGGTGGAGTTACCCCCAAATTCCACTACCTCCGCTCCGCTCCGCCACGAACGCCGGAGCAAAATCGGTCCCGTTGTAGTCAATCAGAGCAATTCCACTACTGCGGCCGTGCTCCGGCAGTGCGGCGCCGTGCGGCGCCCTCTGTTCCGGCGTCCGGCAAAAATAGAATCGATCCTATTTTCGCCGGACGCCGGAGCACCTCCGCAGTAAATGGACAGAAATCACAACCGCCCAACAGGAAAAGGAGCAAGCACAACTTCCGTTTTTCACAATAAATCGATAAACAAAAGGCGTTTTTTGTTTCATATGCACAGGTTTAACAACCATCAATGGCGGCTAAAGTTTAAATGCACAAAAATAAGCCATAAATACAGTTTCCACTATCAAAGTAGACACACTTTGTTGATCCAAACACTGCTGATCTCTCAACACAAATGATGGACAGATTAAACCGTTCATTTCGATGCTTCTCTCACACAACGGGTGTTTGGATATAACATCCGCGTTTATTGCTCGGACTGTATCGCAAGATCTCGAAAATCCCGCGCATGCTTGTTTGCCCACCTCAGGTCTCCGCACCGGAGCAGAGCCGTTGTAGAGCGGGTACCAGTAAAAATTGAGTTCGGAAGCGAGCGGCTGCAGAAGGCGGGGGCGGAGCGGAGCGGAGGTAGTGGAATTTGGGGGTAAGACTCGGGTAGGGGGGTGACTAATACTTTAAATATCTGATTTCAGTGCATCAAAGCAAGAAAGAGAATAAATAATTGGGGTATTTTTTTGTTTTTGTTTGTCTTTTGCTGCTTCAGTGAGAAAGAGGACAGTGTGGACATTGTGGAAGTGTGATGTAGAACATCCATCAGTAGATGGTGCCAGTGGACCTGTTAATCCTTCCTGCTGCCAGCAGGAGCCAACAGACCCTCATGTCAGTCTCCAGAGGGTTGAGTCAGTTTCTAGTGAAGTAAAACGTTGCAGAAGTTTCAAATAAAAACAGAACAAGTGTGTTTCCTCTGTGTTCTGAGGCTCTGAATAATAATCTGTCCTCTGTTCTAGAATAACTCAGAATAACCACCAGACTAACTCAAGTCCACGCCACAGTCCTCCTCTGCATCTTCATCCTCCTCTCAGACTACACTCCATCACCACGGCAACCAGTTCTACTGCAATACATCTCAGCAGCAGGCATCAAACCGCAATCAGAGTCCCACAGGAATCATAAGCCACCTGCTTCGGTTCGTTGAGAAGTGGATTAAAGAGACAGCGACTCAACATTTACTGTAATGACAGCAGGAACAATCACCACTGCAACAACACAATAAACCGAACCAAAAGTTAAAGAGTTCAGCTACAAAAAGACGATTATGAACATTTTTCATCCAAGGAGTCATGACAGCTGCTTTGCTGTGATCAGAGGATGACTAGAACCGATGTTCTGAACCAAACAGCCTATTCAGGTGTTTGGCTCCATCAGACAGAACACTAAAGAGTAAAAAGAACGTGACATCTTTTATGGAACGGAGACTAACGCGGTCTGAGAGGAGGCCTGGATGAGTGTGATTTTCTGGATTTTGTTCTCTTTTTGTCTCTCATGGTTGAGATGATAAAAAGTACAGGCCCCTCGTCTTTTTAAGTGGGAGAACTTGCACAATCGGAGGCTGACTAAATACTTTTTTGCCCCATTGAACTTCTATTTAGAAATCAACAGGCTAAGGTAAAAACATGTCTGACAACCCTGATGCTCTGACTAGGAACAAGTCCAGATTTCTAGACTGAATCAAGTGCTCCAGCCTTAATCAACCAGGGTGAATCCTAATCCCTAACCCGGGATAATGCATCAAAGATGCCCCTCCGGTCCTGCTGGTGCAGACCCAAAGCGTGTGCAGTACAGTCACTTCTGTATTTTAGGTGGGATCATCAGCCTGCAGGAACATTTTGACCTGTTTGATTTTCGACTATGGGCTGCACGGTGGTGCAGTGGTTAGAGCTGTTGCCTTGCAGCAAGAAGGTCCTGGGTTTGCTTCCCAGCCTGGGATCTTTCTGCATGGAGTTTGCATGTTCTCCCTGTGCATGCGTGGGTCCTCCGCTGGTGCTCCGGCTTCCTCCCACAGTCCAAAAACATGACTGTTAGTTTGATTGGTCTGTCCAAATTGTCCTTAGGTGTGTGTGTGTATGTGTCTCTGTGTTGCCCTGCGATGGACTGGCTCTCTGTCCAGGGTGTACCCCGCCTGATTGCCCACTGACCGCTGGAGATAGGCACCAGCCCCCCGCGACCCTACGTGGACAAAGCGGGCTCAGACAATGGATGGATGGATGATTTTCGACTTATAAACTCAACTTTAAACTGAAGCAGAGCATGGCGCGCGCACAGAGGCAGAATGAACACTCTTCAAACATTAACCTGGACAGAAGAAGAAGAAGAAAATATCATTTCTATAGCGCCTCTCAAGATAAAAATCACGAGGCGCTTCAGAATGCGTGTCTCCATCAGAAGGTCTTGGTCCCATGCTTAATGTGTCCCAGAGAGCAGTAGAAACCTGTTTTACTATAAGGAAATGGTGCCTTTTGTCCTTGGCTCACGGGGCGTAACACCATCTATGACTGTCCTTTGTGGCTCATTGAAAAAGTCCAGTATAATCCTGTGTGAAGTGCCTTATTTGAAGAAACCTTGGAAGCTGACATTTCTGGGCAAGCTGCTGAAATGTACCCTGGACAAAAGTTAGTTAAGTATACAACAAATATGCATAAAACTACAGCCTGGAGACTCTGTGCAGTGTCAGGAATGCAGAACTGTCAAGTACACAGGTGGCAGGAACAGCCAATCACACGTTAGCATGTATCAGCAGAGCCAATAGATGAGCTTATGGACGATTCTGATGGGAAGCAGGCTTCAACACAAGCGGTTGTTTTCTGCTTGATCCTTGTGCTCAAGTTTAGTACAGCATAAATAAAAACTATGTCCGCGAGCTCAGTCCATCACACACTGTTGGAGAAGACACAAATACATCCTTTCTCTTGACTCAAAAAAGCCCAAGTCTAAATAATTCAAAGTTTGGTGCCAAAGCTGTTTCAAATGAGCTGAAGCCATCTTTCTTTTACTCAGTTGCTCAGTAAACATCCCAACCACCGAACGGATGGAG